ACGCAAAGGTTGTGGGTTCGAATCCCGTTCAGAGCCTGAAAATTTTTTCAGGTCATTTTTCCAGTAGTGTTATGGCTGCATTTGCATCTTTCATTCTTTAGAGTGTGCCTGTTTACATGAAATGGATGTGCTCGAATATTTACGCCAAACATGATGGATGCAACTGTATTCGATTGATTACTCAAGTTTCACGTTTCAAAATTTTTTTTTCAAGTCAGGTTCGGCTGTGAGTCTTCCACAAAAATTAAAACTGCCAATATTGAACGAATAATGGGTGCTACAGTTGTAACCTTCCAAAAGAAACATACAGTAGGCGGAAGTAAAATCAGTTTTGGGCGATACACACGTGCCGGTGATTGAAATAAATTTGCATAACATTACAATGTACCAAAAGCAGTGTCTATATTTTATTTAATTGCAAATGTTTTCCAAAGTTAATCATGTGGTCAATCTAAAAGGGGAAAAAAACAGATTGCAAGCATCTTTATTGACGAAAAAGGCTTCCATTCGCTTATTTTTGTTCTTGATGAAGGTAGCTTTACGAGTTCCATGTTGGTTTCACGGATGACGAATTTCTCAAAATGTACCACATCTTTATTGCTCTAGACAGGGTACTTTTTTCAGGCTGCAAAAGAGACTCACACAACGTAATATGGAGTATGGACTTTCAGAAAATTTTAGTTTCGACTTCAAATTCAATGTACCAGTGGGCTTTTGATGGTATTGAAATTAGCTGAAATTAGCCCTTTCGTTCATGAGTTTCGATCAAGGTGCTTGTATCGGCCGAAAATATTGTAACACTTGGAGCTTTTGCTAATCAAATTCATGCTTTAGAAACAGCAAGACATGCACTATGAGCTACCCAAAGTATATTGATAGATATCAGCGCATTGACCTGTACGAGGGAAAGGAAAATGCACAATTTTCGGCCATTTTCAGCGGCGGCAGGCAGCTAAAATGGTGATTTTTGGACTTTCCTTGATTTTGATAAAACTAAAATGCTTCAGGACCTTTGAATGGTATTTTCGAAAACAACTAACTATAGAGGTTATTTGGGCAAAATATGAAGAAATCTGACTGTCATCTCATTTTCGGTATTTACAGGAATTGGCTCTTAAGAGCGTAGTGTGTTGACCATAGATGGAAGAAACTATAGCTCAGAGAGTAGAGCATAGTCAGGGTAAACTCAATACAGAATTGTAAATGGAAAACAATTATTAAAACACTGTGGTCCGTAATAACACTCAACATCCCTGAGCGATGTAATATTTGCTACCATAACTATACGCCACACACCTCTACGGTGTATGCATATCTGAGAGAAATGGAGCTTAAACATTCAAAACACTACCATAGAGTCGTAGAGCTCGACGAAAATTTCTATGCCTAATCGAGTTTCATAAAAATGGGCTGGGTTTATCATTTTGGCAAATGTCTCTTTCACCACGGTAGACTGTATCTAGTGAGTGTGATCGACATTTTCCCGAGGTAAATTTCCCTTGCTAGATTTCCATTATTTATACATCAGAAAGATCACATAAAGTGACATTCAACACATGCTCCATTTACATTTGACATCAACTCATGACTCCAAATGAAAAATTGTTGTCTTTCACACATTTCTTTCATGCCATTTCTAGAATGATTTACTTTGACACTGTAACTGAATTGCTAGACATTTTTTACCATAATATGTCAAACCACTGCATGTAGTTATGTGTAACTGCTGGTTAACATGGTATACTAAAATACAAGTGTTAATTGTTCTGCAGCATGCTCTACCAATGGTACATGTAAATGCCATTGACTGTGGTATGTGTAACAGCTAGTATTGCTATAGGTCAATCTAGATAGGAGGTTAAGTTTTTTTGTTTTTAGTTGGAGGATGGCACATGGATTGAAGATGAGGACCAGACACTTAAGATAAAGGCAAACTTTGTCATTTCAGCTTTTGGCTCTACACTTAGTGACAGCGATGGTAAGAGTTAAAACCTCACACTGTGATTGGAAACTGTATGCATCCAGCATGTTTCAGCAAATAATAATAATAATAATAATAAAAAACAAATAAGAGGAGTGTTTATTGTGGCAAAAACTAGAGCTAAGCTTTACAAAATGCTATAATATTTACATAATTTGATGTCTGTTAAACCTGTAAAACATGTTTCCGTATCTAGTCATGATATCATGGTTACTACAACTAATACTAATACTACTATCATCATCATAACATTAATTAACATATTCCATACAAATTGGTATATACAAGGTAAAAGTAAGTAAAAGAAATAAACTATTAAAACCTATTT